TCACCAGGGGGTGGTTCAAGGCTGGAGTAGGGGAAATCCCCATGGCCCTGCACCCCGAAACGCTTCCGTGGGAGCTCCGCATCAGGCTGGAGACGTTTCCCATTGGATGCTAGCCAATGCCCCATCCAGGGCTGCACTTGGGCCCCCATCTGCTTTGAACTGTGAGCAGCGCACCCCAAATCCGGATCCCAGTTGGGCAGAGAGGGCAGGCAGTGCGCCTTCGTGAACTTAAAAAAAATTCAGCCTTGCACAGAGAACAGAGGCCACCAGAGTCTTCCCAAAGCCCCAAATCTGAGACCTGGAATGTTGTTTTCAATACATTTTGTTACCGTGGCTGTGGAGTGGAGTCTGGGGAGGGTAACTGCGCGCTAAGTCTTGCTGAAGGACAGACCCAGCCTTGTGCTCCTCCTGGTAATTGGTTTGGAGGCTGAGAGACATCGGAGGATTTTTCTCCCCTCCTTCAACATTTCATTACACCTCTGACATCTGCTTATCATTACCCCAGGCAGGGACTTCAGAAGCGGGAGCAGCTCAGGGGCTTGTTTGGTTGCATCTTGGCTCTGTCTTGAGCCACCATAACAATAACAACAGCAATAATAGTAACAGCATATACCAGCTCTCCTCAGACTTGAAAGCATGTAACCATCATCTGGGGATCTTGTGAAGATGTCCTTTCCTATGTGGTAGGTCTAGGGTGGGGCCTGAGATCCTGCGTTTCTAACCAGCTCCCAGGTGGTGCTGATGCTGCCATCGATCTGGGGGACCACACTTTGAGAAGAGGTGGTGAATAATAGCTATGGCTGAGGCAATAGTGGTTCACTGGTAGAAGGCTGAATAAGCAAGTTCATGAATCCCTCTCTCCTATGCTGCACTCAGCTGTATTGAATTCACTGGAGCAGGGATTGTTCCAAAACCTTCAGCAGGGAGAGGTGACACATTTCCATACCTCCAGGGTCAGGCCATGACATAGTGAGGAGATGGTCACGGGGGCTGGGGCACACTGGGAAGCCCGGGCCACATCCCCATCCAAGAGAGCATCTGAGGAGATGGTGCGCTCCGGGCTGCTACATCTTCTCATTGTGTCTAGAGAAACCAGATGGCCAGATGCACGTGCAAAAAGGGCCCACATTTAAAAGATGTTGGCTTTTACATGAATGTTCACAGCAGCTTTATTTGTAATAGTCTAAAACAAGAAACAACCCAGATGTCCTTCAATGGGTGAATGGTTAAACAAACAGTGGTACATCAACATCACAGAATGCTAGTCAGCAATGAAAAGCCATTGATGACATGCAGCAACCTAGGTGGATCTCCGGGGAATTATGCTGAGTGAAAAAAGCCAATGCTTGCCTACCATACGGGAGACCTGGGTGGGATTCCTGGCTCATGCACCTCATGCACAGCTACCACCTGTCTGTCAGGGGAGGCTTGCATGTTGCTAACGATGCTGAACAGGTTTCAATGGAGCTTCCAGGCTAAGACTGGGAAGAAAGGCCTGGCAATCTATGTCCACATATCAGGCAATGAAAACCCTGTGGAGCATAGCAGTTCAGTCTGCAGCCAATCATGAGGATGGCACAGGACCAGGCAGTGTTTTATTCCGTAGTGCATGGAGTCACCACGAGTCAGGGCAGACTGCAGCTAAGAACAACAGGTATTGGGTGCCTACTGGCTTAAGCCAGACCCCAAGCCAGGCCCTGGGCTTTGTAAGCATCATCTTCTTGAATTTTACCGAAGATACTATTATTTTTATTTTGCAAATGAAAACCTGAGGCTCCAGAGAGGACAGGTAACTTGCCCAAGGTCACACAGCTGGAAGGCAGCCATCGCCACCTTGGAAAGGATGCAGATGGGAAAGCCCTTTTCTGAACAGTGTTCACCGTCCAAAAACCACAGGCGGCTTTTCAAGGGAGCCAAGTCAGATGTAAATCAGGGGAGAGCCCAGCAGGCCAGACGTGCTGACAGCCAGCCCTGTGTCAGGCTAAAGCCCACAGCGGGATTTGGTGCTTGTGGACCGCCTGGTGATGGGTGCACCGTTGGGGGCTGTTCACAGCTCCTGAAAAGCCAGCATGGGACCTGCCAGAGTCAGGCTCACAGCCTCCCCCATTATTTAGGCAAATCCCAGGGCAGAGTGCTGGCTGGAAGGGCCTGCGGTGGGCCTGGTGCTGTACTTGCTTAAAGACTGGCCCATTCTTGAAACCACACAGGTATTTTCCCCAGCTGGGGGACTGCCTTGAGGACGGAGGGGCCATGGTCTCCCGCCTGGCGAGGGCTTTGTTTTTACACTGGGCGCCTGCCCTCAGGAACTGGGTAGAGTGGGACAGAGATTTAGAGTTTTGTTTCTCAGTGTGATTTCCAGACCCACAGTGTGGGCATCATCTGGGAGCAGGTTAGAAAAGCAGGGTCTCGGGCCCCAGCCCAGACCTGCTGACTCAGATTCCCTGGAGATGGGGCCTAGCCATCTGTGTTTTAATGAGCTCCTCCCAGCGATTCCACGCCTGTTTAACTTTGAGAAGGGCTGATTTCAACATCTCAGCAGGATGCCCGGGGTGGGGTCAGCCCTAACTTTTGCAATGGGCATGTGATAGCTAGAGTGCTAGGGCTGCAAGAGACTCAGATGTCATTTCATCTGTGCCCGCCCCCTTTTTCTGAGTGTCAGAGACATAAAGGGACATGCATAAAGTTATACAGCAAGATCAAGGCAGCGTGTAGGTCTGGATTCTTAGGGCTGCAAGTGGCAGAAATCAGTTGGAACTAACCTAAAAAAGAGAGAACATTTATTGACTCCTAACTGAAAAGCCCAGGGTATACTTCAGGCCTGGCTGGTTCCAGGTGCTGAGAGAAGTCACTGGGACTCAGTTTCTTCTTCTCCACTTCTGGGCTGTGTTGGCTCCATTCTCCTTGGACTGCCCCTTGCTTCTCCAAGCAAATCCCCTCCCAGCCTAGCAATCAGAGACAGAGCCTTCTTTTTTCATAATATTTTTAGCAAAAGTCCCAGTCATTGCTCACATTGTCCAGGTATGAGTTAAGTACTATCCTGAACCAATTACAACAGCCCCCTCTGATTGGCTAGGCATGGCTGACTGCCCATCCCTGGAAGTAGGAGGTAGGATCAGCCTGTCAGAACCCCATGGACTGAGAGCGGGGTGCATGGGTCTCCAGGTGGAAGAGATGCCCACTGTCCCCAGAAGAAGGGCATGGGTGCCAGCAGGTGACCTAGTGCCATTCTCACCCTCCTCTCTGAGCTGGGCTGGCTTCATGCACCTGGTAAGGTCTCACCCCAGACAAAATTATGCCATCCTTCTCCTGGCTCCCTTAACACTCTGCTTGTAATTGTGTTTGAAACATCCTAACTTCATCTTTCCTTGTTTCGCCCTACTCTTGGTACAGTCCAGTATAGAAAAATACCTGTTGGTACTTCCACCATCCGCACCCATGGCAGACACTGCTAATCTACCCTAGTCTTCATGGAGCCAGGCATCCAGCCCGACGTGGTTCTAGGCTCTGTGAAAGCAGGGAACTCAGCTCTCTTGTTCACTGCTGTGTTCCTAGTGCCCAGAACAGTGTCTGGCACATAGTAGGTGCTCAGTAAGTCACTTACTGGTTGTTCCTACTCTGCAGTGCCTGGAACCCAGTGTGAGCTGCTGAATGAGGTGGTCTGGGACCAGCGCTTACTGACTCTTGTGTTTTTGAGTTCTGGAGAAGAGGCTTAAGGACAGGGCTGGAGGTACGAGGAGGAGGAAAGAAGAGAGCTTTGAAAAGAGAAGAAAGAAGTGCCCAGCTCTGGAGGCCTTCTCTGCCATCCCCCCTCCCTCCATGACCCCCTTCTCTTGTCTGCTAATCCCAATTTAACTGTTCATTGAATTGGAAGATCTTGGTTGATAAGGAGCCTTTCCTAGTTTTTTACATTTTTTGATTCTGAGAAACCTGGAGCGCCTCCAGCCTCAGGCAAGTAGCTTTGTTGGTGAAATGAGAAGCTGAGGTGACCTGCCCCCACTTGTATTACTTCCCAAACTGAGTTCCAAAGAACAAGAGGTGTTCTATTAAAAAAACAAAAAAGGGGCTCCATGGGCAGTCACACTGGAGATGGCTCAGCAAAGGTCAACAAGTTTCCTTGGTGGTCCCTCTCGGGGCCTCCGACAGGTTGGTTAGTATCATGATATCCAAGAACCTGGGGCTCCCAGGGCCTCCCACAAATCCTCCAGCTAGCCTTGGTGCTTCCTTGAGCTTGTGGGGCAGGTCTGTCACAGGCCTGGCCTCCTGTTTGAGCTTGGGGGGTTGTCAGGGCTGGGGGCAGCCAACCATAGAACTACTCCTATGTGACCGCGGGTTGGGCCCCTGCCCCTCTCAGCACAGGCAGGAGGATGCCAGGTGATTAGCCAGTTCTTGCTGCCCACTGGGTTTCAGGGACACAACACTCAAGAGAGGGATGTGTAGGAGTATATGTGTGAGTGCATGTCTGCACGTGTGTCTCTGTGTGTCTGTGACAGTGTATGTGAGCATGTGGGTCTGTGTATGTGACACTGTGCTTGTGTGTGAGTGTGAACATATATGTCTTCCATAAGCGCATATCTGAGCATGGGTCTGCGTGTGTGACTGTCTCTGTGTCTGAGTGTGTGTGTGTGTCTGTGCATCAGAGTGTATGTGAGCGTGTGGGTCTGTGTGTGAACGTGTGTGTCTGTAAGAATGTGTATGTATGTCTGACTGGGAGGCTGTGTGTCTGTGTGAGCAAATGTGCCTATGCATGTGTGAGCATGTGTGTCTGTCATTATGTGTGTGTGCGGGTGGTATAAGCCAGAGCATCCCAGCTTTCCCAGTCCTTGTGTTCATGCGACCCCTCCCCAGCACGTGCTATGTTTGGTGGTCACATGTGGGAAGAGGACTTGCTGTGCACAGTCAGACCCTGATAGAATCTTCTTTTCTTTCCTTCTTTGCTTCCTGTCTTTGCAGTAGGTCAAGAACAGCAGCCCTTTCTGAGGGAACTCCAAAACGTAAGTGCCATTTTGTCCTTCGCCATGGTGGTGTTGTTTCACTGATGGTGTGGCAGGTGACCCAAGGTGGGAGCCCCAAGAAGGGAAGACAGAGCCCCCGAGGCCCAGGACCTGGTCCACCCATCACCTCTGGATGGTGGTCCCTGGGCCTGGCTTGGCCACCTATGCGCACTCAGACCCCAAGTGGGAGGTGGCCCAGCCTAAAGGCGGAGCACTGGTTGTGAAGTCCTAGCCTGAGCCTGCTACAGAGCCACCTTGGACAAGTGTGCTGCTCGCTTCTCTCAGCCTGTTTCCTTGTTTGCAAACTGGATAACGAGGCCGTGTTCTGACCCTGATTTGCCCCCGGAAGGCTCTAAGGCAGCTTTGTGGCATGGTGATTCTGAGGATTACGGAATCAGATACATGGGAAAGGGTGAGCTTGGTTCCTCACAGGGCACAGGCAAGATACTTTGGAAACTGGGGCTGTTGACACAATTGTATTTTTTTAGACTTTTTATTTTAAAAAAATTGAAAAAACTTTCAGAAAAGTTGCAGGAGTATTACAGTGACTTCCCGTCTCCACATCCACTTAGATTTTCCCATTGTTAACGTCTGCCACACCTGCTTCATCTCTGTCTATAATATATATATATATCGTCAGCAGAGTCACATCATATTCTCCTTAGGCTGTTTTTTGCTGAATCATTGGGGAGTAAGTTACTGGCCCAATGCCCCTTTACCCCTAAGCTTTCTGCGTATATTTTGTAAGAACAAGGCCATTCTCTTACCTAACTCTAGCACAATCATCAAACCCCGGACATTTAACATTGACACAGTTCTATTATCTTATCTGCAGGCCTTAATGGCATTTTGCCGATTACATGTTTACAACAACTTTTTTTTTGTCCCAGTTCAGGATCATAGTAATGTTTTTTAAAAGGAGTTTAATGGGGCAGGAAATTGCCCATTCTGCGACCATCTTGTTCACCCTGGTTTCGAACGTTGTCTTGGTTACTGTAGGGCTATGAAAGTCTTTCAGTCAGGACATTCAGTAAGAAATCCATTTTACAACAGGATGCAGTGAGAGCTCACACACGTAGACGTGTGAAACCGAAACCAGAGTTTCACCACACAGCCCTGTGCTCACCATCTGCACTGTCTGTTCCATTTGGGTCTGTTCCATAAACATGATCGTCCTGACTCTGCATTGATTGCACGGCCTGCTAGTGGATTCTGCTCTGGAATTTGAAGACTTTGGCTTCCTGGGCAGAAATTTCTAGGAGGTAAGGTAGTGCCCCTGGCCAAATTTCTACTGGTCCAGGGAAACCCCGGGGGGTCCCTGGGTGATACAAATGGCTAATGCACTTGGCTGCTCACTGAAAGGTTGGCAGTCCACCCAAAAGGACCTTGAAAAAAAGCCTTGGTGATCTGCTTCGAAAAAATCAGCCACTGAAAACCCTGTGAAGCACAGTTCTACTCTGACATGCATGGGGTTGCCATGAGTCAGAGTCGACTTGATGGCAACTGGTTTTGTGAAGCCATGACTGAGAGAAAAGCCACTTTGTGGCCCCAACGATCTGTTGCCCCCAGCCCAGGTCCTCTGTCATGAGCAGCCACAGGCCACCCCGACCCCATGGAGACGTGTTCTTCAACCTGTGACACTGGCCGTGGAAAAGCAGACAGGCATGTCCTTGGCGTCTCACGCCTCCCTGAGCAGCTGCCGTGTGGGCACAAGGATGACCCTCTACACCAGCTTCCAGGACCATCATCGTAATCCTAATCAATGTCAATTGTTATGATTGCAACTTTTATTGAACTCTTAACTGTATGCTCATTTAATATGGTGCTAAGAGGCTCAGTGTGTAGTAGCTCATTCCATCCTACAACCCAGTGAGGTGGGTGCCCTTACTCTTTTTGTCAAAGTGACAGATAAATTTATTGAATGCTTACTATGTGTATCAGGCATTGCTAAGCACTTTACAAACTCATGCTGTCCTTGTATAACCCTGTGAGGTGGGCACTGACATTGTCTCCATTGTCCAGGTGGGGAAACTAAGGCTCAGAGAGATGAATGGGCTTCCCCAAGGTCACACAGCTGGGGAGGATTTGAGCTCTGGTTGATCTGATGCTGGTGCCCACACCGCCCAGCACTGACCTGGCCACCTCTGTGCTGGGTGTAGGCGCCCAGTCCAGCACCTTCTCCAGGCCTGGCTGCAGGTTAATAAGTAGCCGAGGGCAGCCAGGGAGCAAGATGCCTGCTGCTGTGAAGCTGGATTGTGACTTCTGCTTCCAGATAAAGACAGTCTTGTGCAAGAGGCCTCAGCCCCTACCCAGGCTGGTGGCTTTATAGGCAGTAAACAGATAGAGTCTAGCCACTGTTCCTCTTTTTTGAGGCTTGCTGATCTGTCTGCATTTGGGTGGGAGCCCATTTTATAGGAGAAGCAACTGAGGCTGAGAGGTGGGTTTGCTCTCAGGCCAGTCTGATGTCTCCTCCAAGCAGCCCTCTTGGTTTATTCTTTCTGTAAGAGCTCTCTGGCTCCCTGACATGGTAGGCAGTGGGATTTGGATGTGGTGTCTTTAGAGGACCAGGATGGAAGAACGGAAGCTGTCACCTCTGAAGTGTGAGGATTACTGGTGTTTGTCTCTCCTCTGTGGTGTGGGTCACTGGGTGCCTCTGACCTTCAGGTTTCCATCTGAGAAAGGAGGTGATAATTTCTCATGAGCCCCTCAGAGTCGTGCGCCACCAGGTAGAGAAGATGGATATGAGGAAATGTCTTAGTCAAGGTTGTCTGGAGAAACAGAATCAGTGGGGAACTGGCTCATGCAATTGTGGGGCTTGGGAAGTCCAAAATCCGTAGGTCAGGTGAAAGGCTTATGTCCCAGAATCCATAGGTCAGGTGATGGGAAGAGTGAAGAATGAGGGAGTTCTGGCAAAATGTCTGTTTATAGTCTGAAGGCAAAACACACCCTAGGGAAATGCCTTTTTTCTCTTAAGTCCTTCAACTGATTGGATGAGGCCCACCCACATTATGGAGGATAATCTGCTTTGCTTAACTGATTTAATCATGCATAACTACTTCATAATAGCAACTAGACTAGTGTTTGCCCAAACAGCTGGGCACCATAGCCTAGCCAAGTTGACACATAAAATTAACCATCACAGTCCACCCCTTGACAACTTGGCACCCATACACATCTCCTTAAACCATACATAATCTACAAGTAAAGACAGTAACAAAGTCTTACTTTGCCTGATGTGATACCATTATCCTGTGTACAACTGAAATTGCACTAACCCTTTTCCAGAGATGATGCAGAGTTAATACATCTTATGTTTTATGATAAATAATGGAATAAGAGAGGGAGAAAAACAAAGATTTTATGTGTATATATATATAGGAGAAGCAACTGAGGCTGAGAGGTGGGTTTGCTCTCAGGCCAGTCTGATGTCTCCTCCAAGGAGCCCTCTTGGTTTATTCTTTCTGTAAGAGCTCTCTGGCTCCCTGACACATACACACACACACACACACACACACACACACACACACACACACACACACATGCAAATCTATGTCTGTGCTGTGTGGAAGTCTCAAATAAAATAAATCAAAATTCCCACTTTTTCTACTTCTCTGTTCAGTTCTGACACCAGCTGCCCATGCAGCACTTATTTCTCTGACCCTTGCTACCTGGAGCTAGGCCATACCTGACAAGTTAAAAAAACACCATCCTTCAGACTGTCAAATGGGCAGACACCAGCCACAAGTTTGGGGAATCCACACGACACCCTCACTTCTGACCTGTTGGCCTCCAAATTCAGCAGTTTTCCTCTGTTCCTTCAAGATTCCAGCTGCAAGCTCAGGGCTGTCCTGAGCTCCCTTAGTTCTGACCTGCTAGCTCCCACTAAACCCTTGGTGTCTTAGTTATCTAGTGCTGCTATAACAGAAATACAAGTGGATGCTTTAACGAAGAGAAATATATTCTCTCACAGTCTAGGAGGCTAAAAGTCCAATTTCAGGGTGCCAGGTCCAGGAGAAGTCGTTCTCTCTGTTGGCTCTGGGAGAAGGTCCTTGTCATCAATCTTCCCCTGGTCTAGGAGCTTCTCAGTGCAGGGACCTTGGGTCCAAATGACACACTTCCTTCCTGGTTCTTCATTCTTTGTGGTATGAGGTCCCCCTGTCTGTCTGCTGCTTCTCTCTTTTAGACCTCAAAAGAGATTGACTCAAGATACAACCTCACCTTGTAGATTGAGTCCTGCCTTTTTAACATAACTGCCTCTGATCCTGCCTCAGTAACATCATAGAGGTAGAATTTACAACACATAGGAAAATCACATCCGATGACAAAATGGTGTACAATCACATAATACTGGGAATCATGGCCTAGCAAAGTTGACACACATTTTTGGCGGACACAATTCAATCCATAACACTTGGCTTCCAGAATTCTCTGGAATGACTCAACAGAACTCACAGAAAGTGCTATATGTACGATTACAGGTTTATTATAGCAAAAAAGATACACAGCGAGATCAAAACAAATAAGAGATACATGGGGCAAGGTCTGGGAGGGTTCCCAATGCGAAGCTTCCATATCCCAGCAAGGGCAGGTCATTCTCCCTCCGCCAACAAGAAAGCCCATGGAGCTCCCGATAGGCTTCCTGATCCAGAGCTTTTGTTGGCTTCAGACTGGATCAGCACCCCCTACCTCCCCTGATGTCAGCTGATACCAGGCCGCATGGTTGTCTTTCTGGTCAGGCCAGCCCTGACCCTTTAGCACAAACCCCCAGGTGTGGTCTAGAGGTCTGGAGAACAAAGGCACTTTAAATACTCAGGAAATTCCAAGGGTTTACAGTTATCTCTCAGGAACAAATTACTTGAGATAAGTAATTCTTTACTCCACATATACACAGGAAAATATGTTAACAAAACAAGGAGGAAATACTCATAAAAATTACAGTCCTCAAGTCTGCAACTAGTCACGTGGTCACAGCTGATATTTATAGTTCCCTTTTTCCACTACCCATCCCATATTCCCTTTGCCCTCAGCAAGCACCTCAGCTGGCCAGGGTTCTTTGCCCGGTGGAGTGACCCAAACCTCATTCCTGAGGTGTCTGGGCCGTTAGTGCTCAATGGTGCCTGAGTTACTATTTATGAACCAGCCAAAAAAAATTATTCCTGACAGGGACAGCCCATGTAGTGGACAATTCATGGAGCTGGGAAGTTGATCCTGGGTTCAAATCCAGGCTCTGGACCATGCCAGCTGTGTGACCTTGAGGGAAGTCACTGAACTTCTCTGAGCCTCAGCTTCTCTACCTGTAAAATGGATCAATAACAGCACCCAAGAGGATCAGAAAGACAGCAGCATCAGGGGTAAGGTAACTTCATCACTTTGATGACAGTAGTTTTGAAGCCCCCATCAGGCCTAACAGTATTAGCACAAAGCATCCACATACAGTTTCTCATCTCATCCACCTAGGTGGGATCCCCTAGACCAATCCCCCTCAGCTAACAGAGTCGATCCCAAGTGTCTTGGAACTATGTCCAAAAATCTGATCCATCCTCCTTGGTGCCTGGGATAATTTAAGGAAAATAGGAGATTTCTAACGGCAGAACCTCTCAGGGGTTGGTATGAGACTTCTTTTGGGGCCTTGCCTCCTTCCCCCATCAGGCCTGTAAACTCTGGCAAGGTGGGGTGTACACAACAGATCTGTGACTTCTAGTGTCCTTGGAAAATGCCACCTTCAGGCCTGTTATGCAAGAGCGTCAAGCTCACCCTTCCATCCAGGGAAAGGCCAAGATAATTATAAAATGATACTTATTGTTTGTTTGCCCTGGTTATACAAGTACTGTAATACATTTTTAATACAGAAAATTTGGAAAGCCAAGAACATTCTAAAGAAGAAAATAAAAATCATCCATGTTCCCACATCCAAAGATAACCATGATGTGATCTGACAGTGGGTGAATATAAATAATTTTAAATTTTCTTGTCAGAGTTGAGTTCACAGAGTGCATAATTTTGGGAACCTACTTTACCCCCAAGTAACATTTCTGAGCATTTTGGGGGGGCCCTTGATCTTCTAAATTAGGGGTCGGCAAATTTTTCTTAAAGGGCCACATTGGGCTTGTGGGCCATATAGTCTCAACTGCTGTTATAGGAGAACCCAGCTGTAGGAAATATGCAAATGGATGTAGGTGTGTCCCAGTAAAATTTTATTTGCAAAAACAGGCCACTGAATTTGGCTCAGGGACCACAGTCTGTAGTGGTTAAGAGCTACGGC